AACCAGGGCTCTAACGCACGATTTTTTAGTTTTTCATATTGGAAAACTAAAATCGATTAATCGGTAATTAGCGAACCAAAGGCTTAATAATTATCTCTCTTCTTTCCTGGCAAGAGAGCTTTCGTCGGTGGTAAAAACAAATTAAATATTCCTACAAAAGAGATTGTGAAAAAAATGTACTACTTAACTTACTGCGTTATCGGTGGTAAAGCAAACAATTATGCAAAATAAAACCACACAAACGTCACTCCTCGTCTCCTAAAGCAAATAAGTAAATTCAGAAACTTCAAACGTCAAATGGAAAACTTTTTTATTATAAGTTTTACGGAAAAAGGTTATTGTTTATAAAAATTTTTGCCTTCAAAAATAATAATATTCAACTCTTTACATTTGAAATTGAATATACAAGGTGTTGAGGAAATCAGGATTTAAAAAAGTTCAATGGGAATATTTTTTACTACTTCAAACAATCGATTTGTGTGCTATGTTCCCAAAACCCCCAAAATTTGCCTTTCATCCGTTTCTTTCTCAAAAATCCATACGTTTTACCACATTTTCCCTAGTTAATTAGTTAAACATGCCTTAATTTGATATAGCAAATAACATACAATTTCCTACATTTTAAGATAACATAAATAAAGAGATTTCTTATGGATTCTCTCTTACAGTACGCATTTAGGTAATAGGATTTAACGGCAGGATCAAGTTTTGCAAGATTATACTGCGCAATGGGTAACATAGAAGGCAATAGAGACAACAAATTGTTGATTAGAGCAGAGTAAACTTTATTCTGCAATACAAAATTAAAACAAAATACCTTGTAGATTGATCAGAGAAAATTAAAGCAGATATCCCATCAACAGGATATTGTTAAAGCATCGGTTATCTCGGAAAACTCTGCAAGTGACGATTTATGTGACGGGAAACGTGTTTATAAAACGCGTTTTCAGTTTCACTGAATTATATTTATATGTAAATCACGGCTTGTATGCGCCACATATCAATTTTAATTTTGGTACAGAATTTTCATTAAATGATCAGAAAACGATTCGTTTTAGATTTACGGAATCTACAAGCAGTATAATGCGTTAAATTCACAGAAAATTGTAGAGACGTTTATATTGGATATCTTGACAAGACACATCTGCCGTCACGCTTTTAAAACTAATACTCTCGAGTCTTCTTGGGTTATTTTATAAACGTATCTTGCCGTTGCCATGTCGCTACCGACCACTCCTCCCTTTTAAGGGGTATTCGAAAAATATTAAATGAGTTAGTTTTCTGTACCATTTACATCCTTTGTTTATCGATTCGGGTTCAAAGTTTTCATTTTTATTGCATTATTTATGGCTTGTTATTATTATATTTTCATTTTTTTTCTTTTCGCTACACGTTTAATAAGATTCACAAGTATAACACAATCTCATTAAGTTCGTTGCTAAGGTTTTCAATTGATCTAATCGGTTCTACATGCATTACTATTAGATTTCTTGATGGACGTTTGCACTGTCAAATTAAAGCTTTAAGCATAGTGTAAGGGCATTGTTACAACAAAGGTTGCCGTGAAGTTAAAGCTTAAATTTGATGGGCATTTTACATTGATATTTAAAATATTTATTTTTTTATTTCATATTTATTAAAATATTTAAAATATTGTGCTACCATCTTTAACGGAAATGAATTATGTAATTACTAAGGCTGTTATGTGACAAAGCCCGACATGCACACCATATGGCGTCTATAAGGAATAAGAAAGTTGATGTGATTTACTCCAAACCCACAAGCCATGAAAATTGTATTTTAGTATGGTCAGAAAGCTGAGCACAAATCAATAAGTGTTTGATAAAAGTATTTTTTGATATATTTGAAAATAAAATAACGCCAGCGCATTTTCGAAAATCACATTTTTCCGTTTTCTGGTCATAACTTTGCTATTTGTTGAGCTAGAAGAAATTTTGAATAGGGTAATCGATCAGCACAAAATTCTGCATAACTTTGTCAATTAATCGACTTTGTATGTCTTATGGTTTACGAGTATGATATTTGCATTGAAAGGAGGGTATCGAGATCCATCACATAACAGTATTCAAACAACATACAATTTATGAGTCATGAATAATCTGTAGAGTCATATTAAACTTTGTACTCGAGCAGAGAAAAGGGGGGGGGGGGGGAGGAGTGTATATAACATTCAAACTTATGTGACTTCCGAGAACAGAGAGGTCAGGTCTAGGAAAAACCATTCACTAAATCGCGCCTTAACGAAGCTGAGGGAATAATTCCTATTCGCATGCCTAGTCCGTTTTGAAATCGTTTTAGTGCAATCACGCCCAGGAAGGCAGATGGTTTACCCTTATATTTTGGCTGGAGAACCAATTATAATACCTCTCAACAAAATCATCATTCATTACTAATTAATAAAAGATTATGGCAATACAAAAAACAAATTCAATAAATAACTTACTTACGCCTCCACATAAGATGCGTCCTGACTTGAGCATTTTTCTCCGAACGAACCGAACGAGCCGAGCGCGCTGTAACAAATTATTATAGTCAGTACGTCGAACCGAACGTGCAAAACATTATCGAGCACTTGTCCGTAAATCTGATTTGCTCAAAGGGATTTATTTGTTCGTAAGTGCTCGGTGAGTACGCGTGTTCGTTGTGCACAAGTAGTTCGCGCAAATGTCCATGTTTCGATATGTCACGAATAGAACCGGCGAATATGGGAACGGAACGAATTATACAAACGCTACGAACAAACCGAGCTATTTGTCACAAACGTTTGTTCGGTTTGTTTGTGCGCGCTCGGTTCGTTCGGTGAAACATGCTCAAGTCAGGAAAGCCCCGACTCACACCGACCTTGCTACATACACCTGTGAAAAATTCCACCCCACGCACGGCCCGCAGTTTTGAATAATCGCAAGGGTCGCTAACGTCGCTTTTAGCCACATTCAACGAAGAACTACGTTTCATTGAAATTTAAATCAGTTTTTAGCCACAGTCAATGAAGAATTACGTTTGTTGGAAGTTTGAAATCAGCTTTTAAGCCAAGTTCAGGACCCAAGTGCGGTCAATTTAAAATTCGCTGTACGCACAGTTTACGCAGTTACGTCTTGTTGAAGATTTAATTCGCTTTATGCATATTTGTGAGCAGAATTACCAATTGCGTCATTGAAATTGAAATCAGCTTTAAGCCAAGAGTCAGGTGACTCAGAGGTACTTCAAAGAAAAGAGGTTGCCGGCGCCTCACGGGTGTGTTTTCAACGTGTGTTCAAAGTGTAATTGTTGAATTGAAATTTGTAATTTTGTGTTTTGTGTACGGATACCTTTTATTTGAATTACAATTCCCGGACATGTAATGTAAGTAATTAAGTTTTAATTTTAGTCTTTGTGTAATAATTGTTTGATTTTGTATCATTTTGTTTGTGTTACAATGAAATCGCACTTTTGTAATTTTCACTTAATATCCGTGTGTTTCATTCTAACGACTTAATTTCTAATTCAACTGTGTTTGTATTGGGTGCTTGTCCAAGGTCCATTTTAATTATTCAAGATTTTGCAGTTCAGTTTGGAGTTTAAGGTATTTGGTTTGACCCACTATCTGTTAGATGTTAACATGTTAACTGAGAGCAGAGTCGAATCTCTCCTCTGTGTTGGGGAGAAGTTTTGTGTCGTGATCATTATAAAAATTAAAGAGCTAGGTTTTTATTTTGGTGTTTTGTGTACGGTCTTTCTGGCCTACGGATCAGTACACACAGCAATATCTGGTATTGCAAACATTAGATGTGCGCATGCGCAGTCAGTGCCAACTTCCTGAAGATATATTTATTTGAAATTTTAACCATAGATGCTTCTAGTAAATAAAAACATCATATGTAGTAAAAATCAAAAACTACAAATGTCATTAGCAAAGGCAAACACATCTCACATGGTAAACATAAAATGCGCCCATCCGCAGACTGCAAAATGCCAACTTTCTTACTTATGAAGATTTCTCTCTACAGTTTAACCATACAAACTTCTAGTAAAAACAAACATCGCATACCTATAGCATAAATTAAATGTGCTCATCTCATGGGCGAACTGCGCAACGTTAACTTTTCTGTTTATGGAGATATTCCTTTGAGATTTTAACCATATATGCCTCTAGTAAAGAAAAACATAGCGCACATACCTATGGCCTTTTGGGAAGTACTGATCAATTCATGGAAAATGCGCTGAAGTTACTCGCCTTAGGGCGAAAACCTTTTTACTTGTTTTTTTGTTTATCTTGAGTGGTTTTTTTTTATCAAACTTTCACGACAAATATGTTCTTCTATTAAATTCGCAAGTTGTGTTTTGTTTAAATACTAGCTTTCCGGAATTTCTCGGTTTATCACAGCCCACGGCTCGGTTCTATACGACACTTAAACAGTTTTCCCGTTAATACGTTGAACTAATATTATTACTTTTTGATACCAGATTTTCTACAATCAGTTGCGTTTTTATGCGAGAGCCCCAAAATTTATTGTTCGAATTGTCGAATGCCCGCGACCTCCTTGCGCTTCCTCTTCTTTTTATGCCCTACTCAATCCCCCTTCCCCTCCACTAACTCCGTATAATCATGAACTCTAAAATAATCGAAATGATCAATAAAAAAACTTAATATACAAAATATTCAGCTCTACAGCGGGATTGTGGTATAGTACCCCGCCAGGGGCAACATGTGCCTTAAAAAGTTTGGTTCCCCACAAACCGCGAATTTCAAAACATTGGAATAAATCAGCAAGGGAATATTATTGTTGGTTTAATGCCGAAACGGTTAAACCGTCGGGGACCAGAAATAACTTTTTTTTGGAAATTGAGCTCACCATTTTGATAGCCCAGTATGGTCAGATGGCACCGAAAGCATCTACCGTCTTCTACTGTCGAGACTTCGAAGGTCCTTTTTATCGTTAGGTGTCTAATTAATACATCGCACTGTACTATAAGACTTCTTTAATTAAATAACATACGTTTCAAGCGAGTAGAGATTTCACGGTAAATTTTGGTAACACTGTAACAGATCTTCTAAAGTCATCAACTTCACAGCAATAAACGAGGCCCAGCGTAACATTACTTTGTTTCCACGTGAGCCATTTTACACTATCACAGACATCTTGACAAATATAGTCGCTTTTATCAACTTCCTTGTGTGGATTATTACGACCAACAAGAGCAATCCCTTTCTCAGATATTGGTTCGTATATAACCTTGTAGTAGAAAGCTGGTACGGGTATACCATGTTCACCATTTTTCCCAACCCAAAGAAACAACTGTTGATCGACACCGCTGACATCGGGATGCGTCATAACTCCGTGACCTCCGGTGAACACGATCAAATCAACTTTCCTTTGCGCCGCTAATTTTCTAGTATTTTCCTCCATTGTGTTCCAATTTCCTCCATTTAGGTTTTGCCATTGTGGCGCGGCATTGACATAATAAAAGGTTAGCCTTTGTTGTGAGCCGAATACAAAATCGGCCTTTGGGGCGTAATGGCCTGTGGATAGGAATATATTTCCCGTAGGATGAATGATTGAAGAACCATTGTGTTTCAATCCCAAAATATTATTAATGGTCTCCGTTTGGACCTTTCGCGAGTACAAACGGTCAACCTTTTGATCGGTGTAATAAAAATTTGCTTCCTTAAATCGTGGCCTGGGAACTCTTGTTTGCTTTCCCGCAATGTTATGAACTAAATATGTCACTGCATAAAGCGAATGTTGTAGCTTCTCATCGTAACAGGTCCAGATGTGGTTAATAAATCTCTCTTTAATCTGAAATCCTATTTCAATCTCTTTGTAGTTTACCGAACATTCTTTTCCACTAAGACGAGCTGTACTTTTTGGAGTAACAGAACACGTAATGTTTTGAAATGGAACGAATTTTTCATTAACCTTAAATATTGTTCCAAAAAAACACGATATTGGTACAGTATCTTCATTAATAGTTGTTCCATATAATTTAACTTCTCCTCCAGGACATGCAACATCTATTTGGTCACCACTTCTAAAGGTTATGGTCCCATTAACATCCTCAGGTAAAACTATTGCATCTATGTGACTAATTGCATTATTCTGAAGTACCAAAACTGGCTGTGGATTACTCAAATGCTGACGAATCGTAATTTTACAGCCTGAAGTCAAAAAGTGTAAAATAAAGTTTATCACATTAATGCTTACCGGCCAATCTGGGTATGATTGCAGCGGCGGAACTCTGGCCTATTAAACAAAGCACAATGAGCAAGCTTAGCATTGTAACGAGAGTTCAGGTGTTTAAAAGGTAAACGTAAACAATATACAATTTTATACGTCCTTTTATATCAGATACATTTTTTATCGTTCCTTATTTTTTTTTTAAATAAAACGATTAGATTAAGATAATATCTTTTGAAACAGGTGACGAATAAGTCACATATCCGCTACTGTTAGGAAAATGTACAACTATTTTCTTTGTCTTATGATTATATCCAGGCTAGTTACGAAACGTTTGAGAAGACAATGAATAAGAAACCTATGTACAGGGTGGTTCAAATTCGTGGCTCACCATTGGTGTTGCTTAAATGAGGCTAAAAAGTTGCCCCCTTTAAGTGAAAGTGACATTCTTGTCATTCGGCTGATTCGGCATTCTTAGTCACACAGTCCACTAAGGCACACGTGTCACGTATAAATAAAGTTGAAGTTATTTATTATTGCATTTATTTTTTTCTACAATCACACAACACACGCCAACAGTCCTTCATATTCTTTACTCGATTCTTTATAATAGGCCTTTGCATTTGGATTTTGAAGGTACCAGCTTTCCTTTTGCTTTTGCAACAAGCCACCGAATGGACGGATCTTCCTCAACTAAATTAATTTTATTTACAAAGACGGTGATTTTTATAAGCAAACGTCAAGTGGCATTTCCATGGCAATAATGGAATTAGTTATCATCCCACTTAATTACAAATGTACTCCAGTACTCGTATAACGTTAATATGATTTCTATCATTACATTTCCCTTATTTTTAAATTATACTGCAGATATAATACTTACAAAAAATTCTATAACAAACGCGTGTATAAACGTTTAAAGGCACGACGCGTATCGCGTGCTTTCATGACAGTTATATACACTTGTTTCTTAATATACTATACTATTTTGAGACTGTGTTACACTTTAACGAAAGGTAACACACCTATAAGGCACAAATACCTTAGACATGTACAATGTACATATGCCAGCTGAGACAGAGTCCGAGAGTAAACTTCTCATTTCCTACAAAGAGAAAGTGAGGAAGTGTTACAGATTCAGAAATCAGTCCAAGAAGTGATCAAGTGAGTTGAAAAATTGTTCCAAAGGATTGCTCAGGAGTATAGATGAGTGAATGGGTTTACCAAATACTATTATCTGGGAGGGGAGAGGCATAGCGAATGAATAAAAATGCTCAATGATTCACCGGCACAGATGACAGAATTCGGTATAATTGTGTAGGAATCACAGTCAAATCCAAAATGTTTATTAGATAGCGCTCATATTTTCAAGTTTATTTGGAAAACTGTCTTTTTTGATGATGGATCGTTTAGTCTATAAAAAGAAACGATAGATTAGATATGTAAGTTTTCGCGGTACTTATGTCCTAACTTTAATTTTGGTATGACGTTACAATTTCGGTGAGTGGATACCCTATTTTTTTATTTCGCTAAGTGTTTTGATCTCAATTTGTATCTAATGAAAACGAAAGTGGTTTAAAAACAACATTTTAAATTATTAATAAGCTCACACAAACATAATTACATTTATTTCAGGTGCAAGTACTATAAATGGAAATTGACCTCTAGTATCCACTACACTTGTACTTCTAAACTTGTGTGAAGCATGTCATTTTTTAATGACTAGTTGGTGATTATTTTAGTTTTATTAACTTTAAATTTAAAAACAAATAATATCTTCATGGTTATTAAAGTTCTTTTCTTCACTTTATGAATATTGAGCTTGTGGTTGCACAATCTCAATATTATTGCCCTCTATGTAGTACATTTTACATTAATTACAGTGGTGTAAGTGTAAATCTTTGGCCTCTAGTATGCCAAACAGCAAACAGTATGTTTCTGGTCTGGCTCTATATTAAACCACGAAGAGATGTTACCTTTAGGTTTCTTCAAGTGAGCGTCCCTGCTTAGGGAAGCCATCATTGTGGCGTGAATGTGTAAGGCGGACTATTTCTTGTTGAACATGATGTAGTTTCCATTTTTTAGCTTTTCCAGTAGGTACACGAAGTAACTTTTTGCTTTTATATACATTTCGTCTGAGAATTGATTTTAGATATGACGACATAGATACCTATAAAGTTAATCGGTGACGAGATTTGTAGGTTATTGGCCACTTTAAGTGTATTGGCATCCCTGGTTTTCTTTGACGGAAACTGGATGCTAAAGACCAAAGGTCGTGATTATGTCAGTGAGAAAAAGCGTCTATATAAAATGTTCATAATAATATTTTACATATTGATGAAATTATCTGACTTTTTTTTAACGAAAAATCGTATGGAAAGTGGTACTTTTTTTCACGATTTTTACTATGCGTTTGCATGGAGTTTAGTCCTGTCGCCCTAATTAATCAAACTGCAAATTCATAAAAAAAGTATCACTTTCAAAACTAGTTGTACAAATAACTATTCCTGGTAACACACGTAGGTACATGTTTTCCCCGCAGTGTCTGTCAGCTTTCTTCTCCCTGTCTGGTTATCATACCTCATACGCATGCGCGAACCCCGGTTTCACTTCTTTCCTCAAAGTAAGAAATAAAAGAAATAAATTACAGCGAGCTACTGCACATCGGCGGCGTCCCGACACTTTTAGCGCATTTTTGAAAAAAATACGCTATTATATTCGTTATGGTTGGCTGGTTGTCCGGCTGAGATCTCAGCAATTACAATAGCTAGAGACTTCAAATTTTCACTAAAAGCTATCCATAGGAAAATCCCGCCGGTTCAGAGGCGGGGATGTTTGCTGGGGCGAGTCTGGTGGGCACTGGCCGCAATACTGCTGGTTGGGTCGAAATTCGCACGGGTGGTGTTGGCGGCGATGCCGTGTGAATGGTAGCAGTTGCAGGCGAGTCGGTAGTGGCACTTGTACAAGGATTTGTGTTCACGTTATCTCTTCTCGCTATCTCCAAGTACTGTTAGTATTTCGACTGCCTCCGACGGTCACTAATTTGATCCCTTGTCAAACCTGTTGCTGACATTGTTTCCCGATAACAAAATGCGCCCTTTCTGTATTTGACCTCTATCACGGCCAAAGCTGCAAAAATTCCAGCGGCAGGAGGGGCAGATTGATCCTCCAACTCCTTGAGACACACCTCTGGGTGTGAGCGTTACTCATGCAGTCGCAAAATACGTTGGTTGGAGGTAGAGTCCATAGTTACTCCACCCGCTTACCCCCGCTTTTTACGCTTATCATTGACATTCAGAGCAATGGGCTGAAATCTCTCCTGTTCGTATACACGGTACTTGGATTCTGCTAGGGCCAGATGTCCTTGCTGTTGGCGTCCGTCTGAAGGACAGATGGCCGACTGAAATCAGGGTCATGCGGCGACAGCGGTGTTCATCTCTTGGAAGGCTCGGTATTCCCCGGCAGTTCCAATGCAACGAGTTCTTTATTTAAGCGGTCGTTCAGTGAGTGGGTCAATTGCTAAGACCTAGGAAGTTGTGTAACTGCTTTGGGATCGTGGGGCGTTCGGTGCCGCGTAGAGCTTTCTCATGCTTTGGGAGCAGTTTTTTGTTGAAAATCTTGTGCCAGCGTCGTCATCCCCAGCTGACACTTGTCGGTTAGTCGCAAATTGAGTTGCCGTTCGAAGATCAAGAGTAGATGATCCAGATGCACTTTCCATGTAGGAAGTAAATAATAATGTCGTCATGGTAAACGATCGTAAATTTCCGCGGGTAGCTAGGGAACACTTCTTGACTTTAGCTCCAAGGTGGAAAACACTTTTCCCGTGGACAGATCCCGCAATGTCTCGTGAGTCGTAGATGCTGGGCAGCGAAGAGCTCTCATCGCAAGTTGCCGCGTTCAGGCGCCGGTAGTCCATGCAAAATCACGCTTTTCCTTCCTTATTTTTGACCAGGACGTTGGGAGATGCGTACCTAGATGTGCTTGACTCGATGATTTGATCACCGAGCATGATCTCGACTTACGCCGTCAGTTTCCATGCCAGTTCTTTGCGGATGAAATTGTACGTAGCTCCAGAGTGTAACAAGGCGGAGAATGTGCGTCCTTGTATGGCAATGACGATGTGGGGTCGCTCGTGTCGCTGGTCGAACGATCATAATTCATGGATTTCGGCGGCCGAAGATGGACTGCACGAATTGTCCAGGATGGTTGCAGGTGCTCGAAGACATGCCAGCAGTCTCACTGGGGTGTGGGGAAGATCGATCAGGAGTGGTACTTCTTCGTTTGCGTCCAAGTAGGGAATCAAAGGATTACCCAACTCAAATAGTTGGTTCTCGTTTTGGGCCTGCTTTTAAAGCCAACCCTGCGATGGTGTTGCAGACGAGCACAGCATTGTGGCAGAAAAGTGTTTCATTGCCACCATCTAGTTTGTTATGTCGTGCGAATCAAACAAATTAATAATTAAAAAATTTTTTAAAAAAGTGCTAGGTATTTCCTCCACATATAAACGGTGTTCTTTAATGACGTTTATAATAAAATGAAATGTGCAATACGTCTTTAAAATAATTACCCATTTTGTGTGCAGCTGATGAGGCGAAACCTTTACCACAACAATAATAGGCATTTTAAATATGTAAACAAAATCGCTATCTGTATTCTATTTGTCTTTTATAGGACAATCTGCCTATGAAACCCATTCGCCCTATTCGGTCGTAGAAAAGTCTGTCTTCTGCTGACAAATATGTCTCATCTAGACCTATCACCCCCTACCCCTACTTTTGGTATCGCACTTCTTGAGGTATTCGCATGCAAAGTTTTGGCCATAACGTTATCTTTTCCAAGAATGTATGGTCCAAGCCATTGACTTGAACCAGATGAAATCTATTTCCTAGCCGTAGATGCATTTCGTGTCATGTGTAAGTACATCGCTGGATTTATCATGAAATACTGGCGCCCCTAACTGCAAAGACAGTAATTTCGTCGACGCATATATCAATGTAATAAATCAAGACAAGGACGGTGTTTTTGCAATGGTAAATAAAGTGGAGGAAAGGTTTCTTAAAAAATCACAATGAGCTTGAGATCATTTTGTTTATTTAACTTTTTTCATTAAATGAGCAAAGATTTTACCTTGAATGCAGGTAAAACATTTACAGCTTTTCTAAAGTCATCGACTTCACAACAGTATACTAAACCAAGGTCCATATTATCTTGTTTCCAAGTGAGCCACTTTACTTTATCGCAAACATCTCGACAAATGTAGTCACTTTTACTAATCTTTGTATGCGGGTCGTTGCGAGAAACTAGAGCGATACCTAGTTGAGACTTCGGTTCGTATATAACTTTATAAAAGAAGGCTGGTACCGGTATACCGCGCTGACCTTTTTTTCCAGTCCAGAGGTACAGTTTTTGTTCAACGCCGTCAACGTCGGGGAGTGTCATAACTCCGTGAGTACCGGTGTATACGGTCAAATCTAACTTCCTTTCTATGGATAGCTTTCTCGCGTTCTTTTCCATGGTATTCCAATTTCCACCGTTTATGTTTTGCCATTGTGGCGCGGCATTGACGAAGTAAAAGGTTAACCTTTGTTGCGAGCCAAACACGAAGTCTGCCTTTGGGGCGAAGTGCCCTACGGCTAGGAATATCTTGCTAGTAGGATGGATTATGGAAGAATCGTTAGCGTTTAATCCCAAGATCTCATTAACTGTGCTCGCTTGACCTTTTCTGGAGTACAAATACTCAACCTTTTGATCAGTTTTATAGAAACTGGCTGCCTGAAAACTCGGTCTAGGAAAGTTCACTTGACTTCCTGCAACATTGTGAGATAAATAGGAAACTGCATACAGGGCGTTTTGCGACTTCTCATCATAACATGTCAAGATATGGTCAATAAATCTATCTTTCACCTGAAACCCTATTTGAATCTCTTTCATGTTTTTCGCACACCTTTTTCCAGTAAAGCGAGCTGAACTCTTCGGACTTCGAGAGCAGGTAATATTTAAAAACGGAATGAGTTTCCCGTTAACCTTGAAATTTGTTCCAGAGTTGCAAGTTGCTGCTACTAAATCCTCTTTCATAGAAGTTCCATACAACTGTACTTGTGCTCCAGGGCACGCAATATCAATTGAATCCCCTTTGTTGAATGCAATTGTTCCCTGTTTGTCATGCGGTAAAATAATTGCTTCAGAAGCAGTAGTGGCATCATTTTGAAGAGCCAAAACGGGTTGTGGATTGCCCAAATGCTTACCGATCACGATGGTACACCCTAAATGAAAAAAATGAGATACAATATTATGAAGTGAATGTCTTACCGGTTGCTTTGGGTATTACGGCGGCATGGGACTGCGCTAGCAAACAAAGTACTAAGACTAAGCTGAACATTCCGCTACAATTTCCAACGAAAGGTAAAAGTAAAAATTCGTTTTGGGTATTTATACTTTTCTTCTCATATCAGATAAATTGTTCTTAATCAGACAACAGGATGCTTCTCAATTAGTTCTCAATTCCAAGTGATTAGATTAGTTTTATTCAGATGCGCATTGAGAAATACGACACATGAGATCTTGTACTTGTCCCATCCTTTCTTCATAATTCCATTAGAAAATCAAAAATGTTCATAATAAAAAAATAAAAAAATCAAATGTTCATAATTTGAGGATCGCACCTAGACCTTTCAATTATGGCATTGTTTTTTTCCTTCTTGAATTATCTATACTTCTGTAATGCTTCCAGATGTACTGCAGAGATTGTTGACAATCTTAATAGTCCACAATTTGCATATTACTGTGTGAAACATGTGGTCACCCCAGTATGACCCACACACAAAAATTAAAACACTGAAACGTCACTTAGATGTTTAGGGCTAACACTTAAATAGTAAATAAGACTGCCGCCCTACTATTGGTCACTGAAAATGACTTCAAAAGAGCAAAATATCTAGGATTACAAACAATATAAGCGACTATGTAACTCAGTGGTAGAGCGTTGGGCTAAACAGCCGGAGGTCTGGTGTTCGAACTTGGGCTGAGGTAAGAATTTTTCATCTGTGATTGAGATGGGAATTTCCTTAGAACAGCTTTGAGCATTCTGCCGACTACTCCGAATTAGGTTTTCCTGCAATTTACCTAATTCGTAAGTCAATACCGGAGTAGTATAGAACAACTTCTGCAGGGGCACCTCTAAAAAGCATTATGAGGGTCACTGTGTAATTGGGCCAGCCTGTTGAGGGTTTAGAATAAGCGAGAAATAATAAATAAATAAATAATAAAATAGTTTTAAAGGGTTTGTAAACACGTGACAAAATTTAAAAATATCTATAAACACCTAACACCTAAAATTAAATCTTATCTTTCTATAATACTATCTAAATTAAAAATCTAACTGAAACAATTATTTTAGGGAAGTCTACCTCCCGATCGGTTCTATAGCGAGTAGGCTGTGTAGGACTCCCTTCCATCCAGGTGGGTTTATACAAGTTGGGTACCGCCCGAGGTCATATTTTCCGGCTTCCTACATGTATGCCAATGTATTCTTGTTTTTATTGCTTTTATAATTATATTTCTGATTATACTAGGAATTAAGGAATTCGAATATATCATTTTATTTATTTAGATGGCCTGTACTGTATTTTCCACAGCAATATTCGCGTTCACTCACCGCTCTGAAACTGGTTAACTTTAACCACATGTATACGTTCTTTACATATATCTATGTTTTGAAGGTTCAAAGTTATCGTCACTGTCCTACATGTCTCGCTACAGGAGTAAACAAACAAGTTGTAAATCAGCATATGCATGCTTAAAGCGCATTTTTGGTAATGCAGGTCAGTATTTGATTAGCGAAGTTTAAAATTATCGATCTCACGAGT